TGTGATAGTGTTTTCTGATCAGCTCTGCTAAAACAGTAAAAAAAACATTACCTTAGAACTAAATTGCTGATAACTTATCTTAAACTTTTTTTCAAAAAATATATACGAGCAAAAAATAATGTTATTGCTAACTTATCTTATAGGCAGGGAACTTGTTTATTTTTATATCATCCATTCGCTAAATCTAAAAAACTTTGCTAGAAAAAAAAAGTTATATGATTGGTAATTGCATTACCCAAGTCTAACGACATTTTTTTTTCCTCCATAAAGCAACTCCACTCGGTCATAACTTCCAAACACTGAATCTATTCTATTATTTTTTCTGGTGAAATTAACCCCTTATAATCGACGATTGTTTAAAGTGGGTTTAGATCTGACGATCTCGGAGATGGTGAAGATTCGAAGTCCCTGTAACATATGAATTTTGATAAAACTACTGATTAAGAACATTATACTCAATGCTCTTATAGCCTTTTTAAGTCCTTTTCTTATCACAGGATCATATATAAGGTAAGAAAGGTTCTAGTTACTATTCATTATTAGCGCTACTTATTATAGTAACTTAATAAAAAATCGACTGTGAGAATTAATTATGCAGGAAAGTGACACTGCATAAAATTTAATGCAGGCCATTGGATATTAAAGCTGGTTGAGTTTTTACGAACTAATAAAGCTGAATATAATCAGTATTTTAGCAGACCCGTGAGACCGTTAAGTTGTATTACATAATAAATACTTTATTTTTCTAGTGACATGGTTATGCTAAAATAGTGCACATGTGTGTTTACGAATACGTATTAAATTCTAGATAACTGCAGTTAAGCCACTGTTGAAGTGCTGTTGGCTTTTTCATAAAAAACGAATATAAAATTTTCTAAGCCACTGTTGAAGTGCTGTTGAAGTACTGTTCGGAATAGGATAAATTAAGATCCTTTACCTCTATCGTTATTCTAAATTTCTAAATTTGAACATGCTGACAATATTCAGATTATATAAATAATGCACATATATGTTTACAGGTTTTTCTTGAATCTACCAATTCCACAACCTAAATTTGTCTATATGGGTATATGTTTATTTACAGCTTCTGCTTATCTAAATTTGTAGAACTGGGCGGTGTTAATTAATTATAGAAATTTTGTACTAATGTAGCGACATGCAATTAATTATTTGCAATTGTGCCGAATTACAGTGCTAAGTATAGTAATTCACAAATTATGAATCATATACGAAAAAAAGATATAAGTCCTCTATTTTTTAGTGCGAGTGCTGATTGCTGAATTTTAGTTTCTCAACTGCAAGAATCCATTAAATCGAATTCATACTAATAACATATTTTCTTTTATTTTCTTTTATTTGAGAGTCATAATGCAAGTATCAATTAATAAGTGAAAAGGGAAGAACAAAGTGTCAAGACAAGCCCATATACACAAAAACAAAAAGCTTAGGCATGGTCAGAAACAAACCGAGATGCCAAACGTTGACATCCCTTTGGTAACTGATGATATCGTCTTTGATCTATTTCGGCATCGAACCCAATCCGCCACTTGAAAAATATCCACTAATGATAGTATTTATTATTTGAAGAAGGAGTGGACAAGTATTCCTCTCTGTTGTTCAGATTGGGTATTATCCAAAAAAAATAAGACTCAGTACAACATATTGGCCAGAGAATTGCTAATTAAAATTCTAATTAGTGAAGCAAAATCCTCTGACAGTAACTCTCTTGGGTTGCCCAAGATTCTGTCAAATTTTCTCTCTTTGATCTATATTGACATTATTAGAGAGACTGGTGTCAGGATTGAGAAATTATTGCCTAATACTGCTAATAAGCAATTGTGGGTTGCTTTCAGCTAGTGGTTAGGCTTAAAGAGTGAGGATGGTCTATTAAAAAGAAAGCATATATGACAACACCTCAGGTTGTTGTGAAAAAAACTCCAGTACACTCATGATATCCAAAGTTATAGAGACTTTCAAGATCTTTTTGACACAGCTACCGTGCATAATACTCGAAGAGAAAAGACACATCTGATCATATCGGCACATCATAATCTCCAATCGATAAATAAATTGGTCCAATTCAAATATATAACAGAACCAGAGTGTATTACGGATCTAAGTAGTCAAATATTAGTTCACTTAGAGCAATTCGATGACTACAATACTATTATACTTGCAACCAATGCTGTAAATAATTATTATTTCCATATGCTGAAGCATCCTTTGCATCGAAGCGACGAATTTTAGACCAATTTTATCGAACATATTGGAGCTTATACCAGAAACAACTTGCTCTCTTTTACAAGCTCCAATACCACAAGTACACATAATATTGATCACCAAGAATGTGTTAACAAATTACTTCGAGGTCTCAAGGCATTATCGGACTGTGTCAACCGGTTCCTCTGAGACTATTATGGAGATTTATATACGAAATTGAGTAGGCTATCATGGGATCCATTTGCGCCAAAGCCCTTTGGAGTTTTCCCAATAATAGCTATCAATTTTAATACCACTAGTGACTATCATTGGAATGAGCATGATAAGGCAAATAGTTTATGTGTCTTAGTTGCAATGAGGGATTACAAAGGAGGAGAGTTATATTCCCCCAGCTTCAGATGGTCGGACATCTTAGGCCAGGACAAGTCGTAGCATTTGCTTCACGTTTATTACTCCATGGCAATTTTTCACTCACTAGGAGGATCTGACACAGTGTTGTTTATTTCATACATGACATATTTTTCCACTATTTGCGAGATTTTACCAAAGTTTACATTAAAGCTAGAATTAAGAAAGGTGCTAATAGTCCAATAGCTTCTGAGCAAGATCTCAATAATGCTCAGGCTTTAAACCACCAGACCCATCTCCCCAAACCAAAAGCAAAACAAATACAGGTCCCTTCCACTATATCTGATCAGAGACAAGGATATATAGGTATGGTTTTGTGATGCTACAAAATATATAAACAAAAAATATAGTTATTAATAATCAACGTTCTCTCTAGATTTAGCATGTGCCTGACGAGGGTTAAAGGCAGAAGATCTGCTCCCAGATTTATAGTAGTTATGTTTCATATGCTTATTTCCTTATTACTATTCTCTATTTACACTTCTGCATTGTATTACTTAATGTATTATTATATTATTCTTAAGTAATATATCAATATTCCACCAAAATCAATCGCTACTACTATGCTTATGTGATGTATAAGTACAATCGATCATCACAGAAAAATTATTGCCGAGACACGATTTGGTCATATGTTGTACGAATATTTATAGTTTATTGTCAGATAAACTTGCCTCTCAAAGATGCAGGACGCTAACGAACTACTGCATAATTAATAATCTGATTATCCTTTTCTAGGCAATAATATACAGCTCAAAAACTGAATATAACAAACTACATAAAGATTGATTATTACGTGCATAGAACGTAGTTCTCTACTTATATAAATCTCTTTCCCCATATTTTTTAGCTATAAATTTTATTGCTCTTACTTCCCCGAACATTGCATCTCTTTTTCTCATTGGATTGTTTTTGTGTTGATAAGACAACTTCTATAGCTACTTGACACAAGTTTGCTTCGGCGAGTTGTGTGATCGAATATGCGTACAATCTTCTTGCTTTAACAGAGCAGATGGCTCAGTGCTTTGGCGATGGTAGTTTGTTTGTTCTACAAAAAATATGCAATCTAGCTGTCTTCTAATAATATAGTCTTCTTTAGTCATACAAAAAATTTTAGTTCTACTACTGAAGTGATAGGGCCTCTGACTATGTTTTAGAGAAATAATATGGCGCAGGGACTCGCATTAAATGGTCTAGGATCTGTGTACTCCCTCTCTTGAAAGCATGTAATATATTTTATTTATTTTTTCTTTGTTTATAAAAACTCTATTATAGAGAGAGCAATCGTCAGATTATAATTGTCTATGTAGTAAGAAGAGGAAGACCTGATGAGCTTCCTGTAGTTTCGTCTACTGAACTACGAAAAGAGAAGTAGTTTGAATGTATCGACCTCGAAATTTATATAAATATATATACTATTCATATTTTAATCCAGTTTTACGATGAGAAGCTTCGAATCTCCCTAACTTGGTCAGTAAAAAAATGAAAATGACTAGTTGTCTACCATTTTTCTAATGCTATTCTTGAGATCACAATTGAGTGATCTGTGTGAACAATTTGTTTACACATACATGAACATATTTTATATTAATTTTTTATCTACTTCCAACACAGGTAGAAAAATGTCGATGTGAAATAAAAATCTATGAAGTATATGTTTCCCTCTCTCTTGAATAAAAATGAATCTGATATTTTATTATCATATACTCATTACAAACTGCTACATATAAGTCATTGAAATTGCTATAATTTGATAAAATCAGTGAAATTGATACGTATATTATCACCTGCAAAATGGTTAAAACTAACTACTATAATGGTTTGAATCCTGACGTATCACAGATATTAATCAATTTGCAATATAGATATAGTAATGAAATGCCTGAAATGTAGTGTTCTCATATTCATTATCCATTTAGGCTACTTCTTGAAAATAACCTAAAATACTTCTCCAAGAATGGATTTATCCATATAACTGAAAGATCTAGAGATAAGAGATTTATGGTTGAGAAGCGTTCATTTTATATTTATTGTACTTTATGCGACACTTTGGTATTTATTCATGAAAATACTATCGAATATGCAAGTAATCACCTGAAGAAATGCATTACCGAAAAACCCCTCGCATATTCTAAACCTGTATAGAAAAATGTGAAAAATGGTGGAGTGTCAAGCCGAAAGAGTATATCATTGCTCAGTCCTGATGAGATTGAAAAAATTTATCAAACATATTGGATTATATACAGTAAAGATTTTGCTCATTATAGTTATGATTATTTATATGAAGGTAGGGAAGGGATTGTAAATCGTTTAATTAATAATGCAAAAGTTATCCAATGGGCTTGGAGAGCTTTCAAGTTGAGACCCGAAACATGAGCGAAACGAGTTTGGAATATAGTAAGAAATGATGGCACTTCTGACAAGAAGAAGTTTTTAGATATAACTTCTCGTGATATAAGAATTCCTGATGATTGATATGTAGATTATTTTGGTCAAAAAATTCAAGCTAAAGATGTGCCTGCACATTATCAGAAATCTCCTATTTTATTTGATCATTATTCTCCATATAGGTGGCTAGAAAAGAAGAAAGAACAGTTATGGGAATGATTAGGCCTTTTATCATATATATTTGCTTTCATTATATTACATCGGCAAGACTATAGAATCGTTGAATATTCAGGATGGGCTTATATGTTAAAGTGGCTATCGAATCCTGAATATTATCGTATTAATGAATCTGGTAATGAAAGAATTATTAGAAGTTTAGAGTATGCGTGATACATGTGTAAAATGCATGGCAAATCATATCCATGTAATTCACTAAAAATTAACTATTTCGAAACTAAATATTTTTATATCCTAATAGAAGAAATTAACATAGATTTCTCAGTTTCGAACAATAATTGTGAGTATATGCACCGAATTTTCTGGACCATAAATTCTCCACTGAAGCCATTACATATTTATTATAATAATTTCTTTTTTATAGTTGTCCACCATTTCTCTAATACTATTCTTGATATCACAATATATTTTTTATATTAATATTTTTATCTACTTCTGACACAGGTAGAAAAATGACAATGTGAAATAAAAATCTATAAAGTGTATATTTACTTATGATTTTCTCATCTATGGTTAGAAATATAATTAAGCGCTTTGGAAGTTTGTAAACAAACAAATCATCTTGGCTCGATCCACAATTTGACCAATTCTATTCATTAGTTGAGGCACTTTTTTCCTTATGCTTCTGCCTAGCTTCTATCTCCTTCTGCAGATTTAATGGTGTATCAAACTTTAGCCAAATTGCAAGGAGATTATCCTTTGGCCTGGTGAGATCAAATACAACAAACTTATTTTTTCAGAGATAGCTATTAATAACCATAGATGTGTCCTTTACATCATCAGTATATTGTCCAACAATCTTAGACACATCTTGGATACTGCTACCAGAGTTAAATAATACTAAATGAGTTGAATTTTCATGAATAAATATATCAACTTTATGATATTTTTGCGTTATATATATATATAAAATATTTCGGTAATGTCCATTCCCAAAAAACTGACCAATTCGATTTCATATATGCTCTGAAGCTAAACATAGATTCTCAATAATAATTAATTTGCTTCTTTCAGATGAGAAAGTTCTTGTACTAGAAATTTTTTTGGGAAGAATGTAACTGAAACTAATATCTTCATAGTAAGATGCTTTTAGGTCTTTTGAAATCAGATTATATATGTATTTCATATATACCTATTTTGGCTCATCAGGATAATACCCGCAAACAATTAGATCGTCACATTTAATATAGCGAGACTCATCTTTTTTCCCTCTTTGCATATATTCATCCTTATCACCAAGAACAAGATTAGCAAGTAAATTAGTCTTACCTGTACCACTTCTCCCAGTAACTAACATGCTAAAAGACCATGTTATCGATGAATGACCAATATTTTGGGATGATTCATGCTTTGTGACTTCATCCATATCTAAAAGACGATGTTTCATTGGAGATATTTCTGTCTTTGAATTCTTTTGCATGGTGGATTGAAAATTTGTAATTCTGATTTCTATCTAAGGGTATTTTATAATTCAGAATATTTTTTTCTTTATTGAGGAAAGAAATAAAAGAATATATATAAGAGGATATGTGCTATAGGAAGTATATGATTAGTAATATTATTATAATGAAGACCACATTCTGCTGAAAGAAGGAATTGAGTGATACTGAGGTTATTTCAGGGCTAGTGATTTCGTTCCCTTTCTCTGGTCCGCTATTGCCTCCAATCACTTCATTAAACTCATTGGATGCTTTCGAAATCTGCTTTGCTAAATGAGTATTGGTTTCTTGAGGAAGGGACTCTTTTTCCAAAGAGTTCTCAGCTAAGTCTGGATCTGCTTCATCTATTATGTTTAATTTGTGAGATAACTGGGATATTTGTTGTTCTAATTGATCTTCCAATTCTCTTACTCTAGACCTGAGACAGCTAATTAACCCATATCTACATATTAGGCCTCTTTCTACTTTCTCTAGCTTGTTTACTTTAGCTCCAAGAGAGGTGATTTCAGAATCCTTATGTCCTACCTCGGCTTTCAATTCATGTTTCTTTGAATTTAAATCATCTCTTTCCTGCTCCAATATACGATTAAGGGAATGTAATTTACTTATTTTATCCCTAAATGAAGTAGTATCTGAATCATGAGATGTGCATTCTAATTCCATCTCCGATTCTAATTCTTTTACTTCAGCTTTTAGTTTATCTATTTTACCTTTAAGATAAAGAATCTCATCCTTGTAGGTGGACAAAGCTTTTTGGGCAAGAGTTGCTTTTCTCTTTAGTGTTTTAATCTCAGATTTAAGCGATTGGATTTCAGTATGGGATGCCTATTTAGAAGATCTAAGCCTAGTACTGGACGCATTTAGCTGGCTAATCTTTTTTCTAATATTAGTTTGAACTTGCTCAAGATCCTTATTTTGCTTTAAATATACACCTTGTAGGTCTTTATATTTATTAGCAAGATCAGAAGCAGATTTGATACTACTATGCAATGCATTCTTAAGTTCTGATTCGCGGATACTACCTAGCTGATACCCGTCTCCTTTAGAATCTCCTTTATCTTTTATATCATTTAATGTATACATAATCTTGGCATGGTTACAAAGCAGAAAAAAAAAATATGATTTATTTTTTTTTCTTGATGATTTCTGAGACGGCTCTGTTCCAGAAATTTTGAAAGTACTTTATTTTTTTATAAATACTACTGATACTACGATACTATTTATAGTATCCATATTACCACTAATATTACTAGCATAGTACTGATACTAC